TACTTACTGTAAAGCTACAGTAAATCAAGACAGTGTGGAATTGGTGAGAAAATAGATTGATGGAACAGAATAAAGAGCCTGGAAGTAGACCCACACAGATACAGTCATTCGATCTTTGACAAAGGAGCAAAGACAATACAATGGAGAAAAGACAGTCTTTTCAACAAATGATGCTGGAACAACTGGACATCCACATAAAATGAATCTAGACACAGACCTTACACCCTTCACAAAACTAACTCAAAATGGACCATAGACCTAAATGTAAAATACAAAATGTAAAAACTTGTTGTTTTCAAAAATAACAAAGGAAAAAACATCTAAATGACTTTGGTTTTGGTAATGAGTTTTCAGATACAACACCAAAAGCGTGACCCAAGAAAGAAAAAAACAAATAAACTGGACTTTATTAAATTAAAAACTTCTGTGAAAGACATTGTGAAGACAAACTATAGTCTTGGAGGAAATGTTTACAAAACACAAATCTGAAAAAGGACTTGTGTCTATCATCTATAAAGAACTCATAAAGCTCAACAACTTAAAAAAATTCAATTTATAAATGGGCAAAGACAGCTCACCAAAGAAAACACACAGATGGCAAACAAGGATCTGAAAAGATGCTCTACGTCATGTCATTATGGAAATGCAAATTCAAACAACAGTGAGAGTCCACTGCACACCTATTAGAAAGGCCAAAATCCCAAAAAGTGACAATCTAAAAAGCTAGCAAGGATGTGGGACAAGAGGAATTCTCACTCATTGCCAGTGGGAATGCAAAAATGATACAGCCACTTTGGAAGACAGTTTGGCAGTTTCTTAAAAGCTAAACATATTCTTACCATACATTTCAGAAATCATGCTCCTTGGGTTTTGCCCAAGTTAAAAACTTATGTCAATGCAAAAATTTGCACATGAATGTTTATAACAGTTTTATTCATAATTGCCCTAAATTGGAATCTTTAGTAGATGAATGGATTGACAAACTATGGTATGTCTATAAAATGGAATACTACTCAGCAATGAAAAGAAATGAGTTATCTCGGGGGAGGGTATGGCTCAGTGGTAGAGTGCAGTGCTTAGCATGCAGAAGGGCCTGAGTTCAATTCACAGTACCTCCATTAAAATAAATAAATAAATAAACCTAATCACCCGCCCCCCCCCCAAAAAAAACAACAGAAACAAAAAAGAAATGAGCTATCAAACCACAGAAAAGACATAGAGGAAACTTAAATGCATGTTGTTAAGGGAACAAAGTCGATCTGAAAAGTCTACCTGCCTACTGTATGATTCTAACTACATGAAATTCTGGAAAAGGCAAAACTATGGAAACTGTAAAAGGATCGGTGGCTGCCAGGGATTTAGAGGTGCACGGGTGGATGGACGGGGATTGTCAGGGCAGTGAAACTATTCTTCATAATCCTGTAATAGTGGATACATGTCATTACACATTTGTCAAAACCACAGAATTATATAAAACAAAGTGTGAACCATAATGTAAACTACAGACTAAATAAGAATTTATCAACATTGGTTCATGGGTTGTAACAAAGGTACAGGCCACTGCTGGATGTTAGTAACAGGGGACACTGTGGGTGGCAGCGAGGGTGTCTGTGGGAACTGTCTGTACTAGCTGCTCAACTTCCCTGTAAATCTAAAACAGCTTTTTAAAAAAGTCTAATTATTTTTCAGAGAGACAATTGATCTAGGCAACAATCATCAGTCGCAGCCAACGTTCAAAGAGAGAGACAACCACAGGCTATGTGCCTCCTGACGGAAGAACAGAACACCACCCTAATCGCACCAAAAGACAAACTGAAAACACAAGAAAACTTGAATCTCATCAAGCCTCTCGCTCTAACTTCCAATGGGCAGAAAATATCCTCACACTGTAGAAAATACACAGAACAAAGCAACACGTCCAACCACAGCTCCGGGATGCAACCAGCAAAATGCGGACTCTAGGAAACCAAACACAGAGAACAAAACACAATTTCTCTAACAAATGATGTGTAAAGAGAAACAAAACAGAGAGAGGAAGAGAACTCACAGATTAAAAGAAACTCGAGAGATCCATCAAGCAGTTGTGATACAGGGAACTTGTTCAGATCCTGACTGAAACAAACAAACTTGTAGGGGAAACAACTCAAAACATGTAACAATAAACATTGATGAGACAGCTGAAAAAAACTGAATATCAATTGGATATTTTATGATATTAAAGAATTATTGTTAATATTTTTTGATGTGAGAGTGATATTGTAGTCTTATGCTTAAAATAGGAGTCCTCTTTTGGAGATCAACACTGAAATACGAATATGAATGAACTAATTTGTTGATTAACATTTGCTTCCAAGAATCCAGGGGAAGGGAGAAGGAATAGGGGGAAGAAATGAAACAAGACCGTCCATGAGATGATTTTGGTTGAAACTGGCTGATGGGTAGAGGGAATCCTTACACCACCTCAAGGGTCAGGTAAACCATGGTCTGTGGACCAGCTCTGGCCCGCCAACTAGGTTTGCAGTGCTTATGAACTAAGAATTATCTGTACATTTTTAAATGGCAGGGAAAAAATTAAAAGATTTCATAAAATGTGAAATCACGTGAAACACCAATGTAGTATCCACAAATAAAGCTCTGTTAGAAGCAGAAACATCATTTACGTACCATCTGGGGCTGCTTTGGGAGTTACAACAGCAGAGTTGAGTAGTTGAGGCAAAGAAAAATACCGCTCTCCACTGAACCCTCTCTCAGAGAACGCCCCACTTTTGCCATTTGGCAAAACCACCCCTGCCTCATCTCTCTTCCTGGACCCTGTCCCCTGCCCCTACAAGGCTCTCCAACTCAGAATGTATCTACTGCATCATGAATAATATGTTTCACTAAATTAATCTTGACCTGAAGTCCAGGGTGGAAATGGCAACATTAGCACATATATGGCTTGGCCACCCCGGCTGGATTCTTGTATTAAATTCTCCACCCCGAGCCATCCTTTGATTATCTGCACCCAGACGGCTAGTCCCGCAAACGAAACTGTGTATTAAAGCTACGTACGTTTTACGTGACCGGTGGCAGCTGTTCGCTCGCAGACTGGCGGGACTGCACGAAACCTGCCAATTTAGACCCATTACTTGTGGTTCTGAATTCTTCAGCTGCAGGTGCTGGCGCAGCTCCGGGTCCTCCGCTGTGGGTTTCTGCTGAAGTCAGGCTAACTGCGCGAAGGACCCACGAGGAGGGAGCGTCTGGGATCCCAGCCTCGGCTCCACGCAGCCGGCTCTACCAGCCCGCATCTTGTCGGTCCTCGGGATGAATCCTCGGGCCGGGTCTCTGGGGAGTCAGCTGGGTGGGGGTGAGGGGGAAGGAAAATGGTAGAAGGGGCCACAGGACGGAGGCTCCGCACCTGCCCGGTGGCCGGCGCCTGCCCCGCGGGCCGCCTGTCAGAAGCAGTGGCTTGTGCGACAAGGGCTGGTTGGATGGCTGTGTGAGAGCTCCTGGGGCAGAGCTCAGCCGCTGCTGCCTCCGGCTGGCTTCAGAGGGCGCGCCAGGCAGGCGCGGGTCGTGCCTTGGCCTTGACCCCATCACCCCGGGCAGGGCGGGCTCACTGGACACCACGCCTGGGGGCGGGGGGAGGGGGCAGTTTCAGACCCGGCCTCTCGTGCCCCCAGGGCGGTACCTGATCTGTTTCCTCGGTAGGTTACTCCCCGCTGGTGCTGGCTTTGTGCTGTGTGTGTGTGTGTGTGTGTTTCCTGTAATCCCCAAAGCACAGAGTGTGAAGCTTCCTGGCAGCAATGGACTGACTTGGCTCCTTGGGGACTGAGGATGGAAACCTCTGGCAGCAGTGACCAGGTCCAGTTCCCCACAAGCCTGGCTCTGCCCTGAATGTGGCCGGAAGCCGTGCCCTGTGACACAGGGACTGGGCGGGGACGTGCGAGCTGGAACCCTCAGTGGGCAGCCTCATCCAGCAACAGCTCTCACACGGGGACCATGAGTGTCCCTGCCGTGGCAGCAGGTCACACAGCCTGTAGGAAAGAAAACTCCCATAACTTCTTGACCTCCTGCCACTTTTCATACCTTCCTGGAAGAGCCAGGGCCCCATAAGCTCTGGGCACCATCCACACTGCTACCACTCCCCTGGACCTGTGGACCGAGGAGCCCTGTTTAAGAGCACGAGAGACTTTTCAGGTACCTTCCGCAGCCCTCGTTCACCGTTTCCCTCTTCTGGAAGACTCTAGCAGGTGGCAGAGGAGGGTCCACTGGCTGCCCTGCATCCCCTACTCAGGGGAGAGAGAGAGAGGAAAGGACCATTTACCAATGAAGCACCTCTCCTTTCATCAAATTCCCCCTTTGCAACTTGGCTTAAACTGGGGACTTGGAAAAGAGCAGTCCTCCTGGGTTTACTCCTGGTAAGACATAATGGGTGGACAGCACAGTCCACCCTGAGACACCTGCCTGTAAGCAGGAGGTGGGTGGCAGACACAGATCCCTGCAGACAGACCAGGAAGGACGTCAGCCGCCACTGCTGAGGGGCCTCCATTTTGGTGGGAGATCTTCTGATGCCTGCTTGAGTGGCACCAGGCAATCTCCTTAAAATGTGAGTTGTGTGACTGTCCAGGTGTGGTCAGGCCAGAAGATCAGGAGATGCGGTCTGAGACTCCCGTTTCCAAGAGCAGAGGGAGCAGGGCCACAGAGGCGGTGGGGGCAGGGGTGAAGCACAGGTTAGTCCGGAGGCAGAGGGAGAGGCAGGCACTGGGCAGGGACGGGCTTTCATCACGGTTCATGCGCAGGAAGCAACGGACAAGGCAGTGCACGCGGGCTTAGGACTCTTCGGGGAAGAGTTTCCGCAGGCTCTGAGCTGTCGGGGCTGTCCTGAGCTGTCTGTGCCGGGGCCTGGGGTGCTTAGGGCCGGGGAACTGTCGTCCTGAGTGTAAGAGCCCTGCAGGTAAAGGAGGCGCTGGGCTGTGGGCTGTGGGCCCCAGATGGGTTGGTTTGCACGTGGAAAGCATGCTTGAGGGCCAGGTGTTACCTCTTTCTAGGAATCGCTAACCCTGGGAGGGGCAGTCCCTCCAGGACCAGCAAGGCCCGCAGGTCGAAGCACCAGGAAATAGAGAAAATAAAAGACGGGATTAATACCCGTCCTCCAACCAATAAGCTAGTTCGTGCAGCTCAGCAGCTGAACCCCAGCTAGCGGCAGGAGGCTCATTTGGAGATAATGACTTGCCTTATAGTCCTTTGTGCTGATCCCTCTCCCCCCTCCCCCCCACCTCCAGTCCACCAGCAAGTCCAATGGGCTCCGGCCCCAAAACACCCCCTCTGACCTCGCGTCTCCTGCCCGCTGAGCCACGCCCCACAGGGCCTTGCCCGAAACATCGCAGAAACCCTCCAGCTGGGTTTCCCTCCCAAGTCCGTTCCCCAGAGCGGCCAGAGAGGGTGTTTTGCTATGGCTTGGTTTTGTCTGTTTGCAGTTTAAAGGATTCTTTTTTCCCCATTTTGTTTCTTTTGCAGTTTAAAGAATTCTTCTGTAAACATTATCACAGCAACGTTCAAGCCCACACAAAACAAAGCGAATGTAATACCCCCCACCACCCAGCAGCAATACTTAGCAGCTCAGGGCCAGTCTCCTTTCAACTAGACCCCAACTCACTTCTCCCCTCCCCCACACTATTTTGCAGCAAATCGTTGACAACAGGGGATCTTTATAAACAAATTGGATCAGGTCACTTCCTAGCTTAAAAACCTCCCAGCTTCCCAAGGTGAAGCCCTACACATCACCAGGGCACTCGGAGCCCTGCTAACCCCTCTGATGGCATTTCTTCATTCCATTCTGGCCAGGAGGCCCTTCTGTTGTTGGACTCACTGAGCCGATCCCTCCCTCAGTGCCTTTGCACTTGCCGTCCTGCTCCCTAGACTGCCTACTGCCCTACATTTACGTGGCTGGCTCCACCTTGGCATCTACATCTCAACCCAGACGCTCCTCCCTCTCAGAAAGGCCTCCCCAGTGAGTCCCTCTCAGGCACCTCTACCTTGCTACTCTCCACCAAAATACTCTGAAATTAGTTCACTCGATTGAAAAATATGCTTGTTCTGAAATAAAAGCTTCAGAAAAGCAGAAACTTTGTTCAATATTATAACCCCATGGCTAGACTAGTGCTTGGCATATAATAAGCACTTGTAATTTGTTGAGTAAAGCCAACAGAAAAAAGAAGAAAAGTGAAAACTAATAACTTAGAAAGAAATTTTCCTGGGACACTTATAATTAAATTAACTGACTTAATTAAGCATCATTTATTAGGAAAAAATATACAAATTTGTGTGTGGGGAAAAAAAAAAAACCAACTCTGATATCTGTATCTGTGAAAGACGCTAAGTGACCTGAATTCTAATGCTGCAAACACGGAAAGAAAGTCAAGGGTGAAATGACTAATTTCAGTCCTTGGAATTAGCTCATCCTTCCAGCTAAAGGGAGGAACTTGTGGCTTATAAAGTTCATTTAGATGAGAAGGCTACCCTTGTCCTCTAAGCTCTTAATGCCTTGCCATGCCAGGAAAACAAAAAGCCTCTAAGGAGACAAGATTAATGAATTCTGAAATGAGAAGTAAAAGATTAAAATTTCAGTTCATTCAAGAAAAGCCTTCATTGAAAGCCTTTGAGTATCTGGGGATCTTTAGTTGATGGAACTCAAAATTATAAAGTGAAATTACCTTGTGCTTTTAATTATTTCACAACCTGTTTTTAAGACAAATGCCCACATAATTTATAAAATTGGTGAGAATCCATTCCAAAAATCCTCCTTTCTCCCCAGCCCTGTGCCCCTTTACTCTACACCTCACAGCCCGCCCGCACCCCGTGCTTCTCCCGAACCTCCCCGGTCTGAGAAGCGGATGCCCTCTACTTTCTGCCTGCAGAAACGTTTTGGAGAATGAGGTTCGACATTCCTGAACGTGAGTGTGTATCGCTTTACACCAGGCACGTGTAGTAAAAAGTTTCGTGCTGATTAAATTTGTATTAATCAAGGGAGTTACACTCCCTAGAAGGGTGTCCTTTTACAAAGCCAGCGGCGCCCCTTGTGTGAGGCCCCGGCTGGGCTGATGGAAAGCAGGCAGCCCCACGTGGGAACGGCCTCCCCTTCCAGAGGCTGGGGCTGGGCCAGTGACAGGGCGCCCCGAGCCTCCTCCCGCATGCCCCTTGTCTCTGAGGAAAACAACAGCATTGTTGGCTCAGGCGCTGGTGGAACAGTGCAG